CTGAAATGGAAGAAAGGTTAGTGTTGCGTGACCGCAGAGCCCAGGGGACATCTGCTTGAGGCCGGTCACACGCGGCCTGGTGTGTCTCAGTAGTGTACTTATCACTTCTGCCCTGTGACACGGCAGCAGAAAGCGCGGTCGTTGTTAATCCGGGCCACGGCCGATCCGGCATGATATTTCTTGGATTTGTTGGGTTCATGGGTTTGGATTGATGAATGATGGCGACTAAGTCCAGCCCCCACTGATACCGTCGCCAATGTATCAGTAAGTTGTGAGGTTTGAAAAATTTCGTTGGCGTCCGCTGCTACTGTCAACGGAGCTACTCAAGGAGCGGTGTGACGACCCAAGTTATCTTCTACTGATACCGTCGCCACAGTCATACCAGTAGAAGTCCGGTTAAGCTGCCGGTCAGCCTCGGGATCAAGCAAAAAAAATGGAGAAAACCAGCAGAACATCAAAAATTCCATAATTTCGCAACGGTAAAGCCTACAGGGACGAGACAGGTACCAATCGATTTGTCTTGTTGAGAGAAATCCAATGGTATATAAATCAGAGGGTAAAAGCTATTCCTAAGAAAAATAATCGAATTTTCCTTCCTAGCAGTCTCTGCCCCCCTACTGCCCTATGGTTGGTAATGCCCCCTAGCTACATACACAACGGCAAACAACCTGAGGTCACGGAGCTAAAAGTGTCAAGAGAACAGCCAGCGGCATGAACTCTGAGCCTAGAAACAGGTTTCCCCTATAGCCTTTGAAAAATTCCCTATTCGGCTGAGGAGAAGTTACAAAGTTCGAAACCAATGTCAAAAGATAGGTCGCTATGAGAGCTATCCATTGATATATAACTTCACCTAAGTCCTAGCCTCCCTAGAAAAAAAAATTTTGGCAGCATAACCCCAGAGGGCGCAAGCCCAGATATCAAAGATCCTGGGGAGGGCTGAGGAGGAGCTACAAGGGTCGAAACCACTGTCTAAAGATAGATCTAGTCGAGAGCTACCGATTGATATATAGCTTTCCTATGCCAAAGCATCCTTAAACAAACTTAGACCGTATGGTCCCTAAAGCCCTAGCATAGTAAACATCACGCTAAAACCTGGCCTAAACATGAAAGCTAATAATAAAAATAAATAAAACTTACCAAATAACTCCATTGGCGAAGATTGGAAGCCACCATAGGCCTCCAAGTGACAGGGGCAGGCCGTAAGAAACCAGCCACCCGTCCCACGCCATGCCACAAATTCAACTGCGCCTTCGCGCGCATCGTCAATTAAAACAGATGCCTATCTACGCCTATTAAAACAAATACTTAATTCTCATTGGCTAAAATGTCCTATATATTGCTATACGAGGCAAAAAGGCAAAAATGGGGAAAACCTGTAAAACTTTAAAATGAATGAATATTGTTAGTAAAATCCAAGAAGACCTAAATAGTCTATGTAATTGGAGTGAAAAGTGGCAGTTAATGTTCAATCCAGCTAAATCTGGGATAACATACTTCGGACGTTGGAAACCTAGCATGTGTCTATACATGTACGGTGACCTTGTCTCAAACACGAACACAGTCACAGATCTCGGGGTAACATACTCAGATCTTACCTTTACTGAACATGCAAATAAGGTGGTATCTGATTGTAAACGTCTAACCGGCTTTGTGTTACGCAACTTTTACACCCCAGAAGCCAGATTAGCCATATATAAGATATGCATTCGCCCCAAACTTGAATACTGTGCCCACTTATACAGTAGCTTTAAATCGGCAGACAGAAAAAAAGTTGAAAGTGTCCAAAGATTCCTCACGAAACGCATATTAGGTTATGATCAGCAAATAGAATACCTTGACAGATGTATTCGACTGGACTTAGAACCCTTATGGTTAAGGAGAGTGAAGTGCAATTTATTTCTCTTATTCAAAGTTATAAGAAAGCACTGTAACAGTAACTCGTCTATAACCTGGGATAATCCTAAATCGTATGGACTACGCAACCATAACTGCCTTCTCAAGGTTAACACCCATAAGCTCACCACTAGAGCTAACTTCTTCACCATTAAATATTGCAAACTTTGGAACCAACTACCCTCTGAGATTAGATCCTGTGAAAGGCCTGACAGTTTCAAAAGGAGCCTAGAAAAACATATTAACATGTCCACCCTAGCCCTTCTAAATGATCTCAACTGCTAGTAGAGTGGTGAAACCATGACATTTCAATATTTAACTACAGACAGTACACTAGTTCCTAGACTAACCTAATAATACTTAGTAATTATGCATGTTCAATACTTGAAATTAGATTATCATTAAAATACTTAAAATGATTACTTACGCAGCAAATGTTCTCTTAGTTTATCACTCTTATTTCCCTTATAACATTCAGTTTTTGAGCCTAACGTATTCTTTGATAATACGAATTGTAACACTGATTACACTCTTATTATACATAGATTGATTTACTTTACGGCTACCTGTAAGACTCACTAACTTTCTGTAGTATTGTTAACCAAATGCTGAAATTTTGTTGGTTCTGCTAATATCTTTTTATAATATATGTAGACAGGTTACTTTGCAATGTCAAATGTTTACTATATATAAAACTGTCATGATAATTTAGTACACTTGGTCCTGCCAACCGACCTTACCTTCAGTTCATACTACCTATATTGAACCCTAACTATATTGTTCTGCTGAATCTTGCTCCACTATTCACAAAACCTATTCTTGTTATTCTTCAAGGTTTTGACTTCTTATAAAGTAATCTGTTCATTAGGACGCATGCATACATATATAATATGTTCATAAAGATGTACGCGGGGACCTATTGGAAGCACCCATTAAGAAAGCTAGGGAGATGGAATATGGGGTACGAACATGCCTGGTACCAAGCAATATATTTGCGGTAACCATAATAATCATAGTCTCAGAGCCTAACATCAAAAAAGGTGGGAGGGTGGAGTTAGCTGATCAGTAGATATGGTGGGGGGCACTAAGGTGAATCGCCCCATTCTGCAGGAACAGCATTAAAAAATTTGAAGGCTCGAGATATTTCTGATTTTTACGAGGGCTTAAATCTTTATCTTGAAAAAGATAACAATGAACGCCTTGACAGATCATGCTTCTACCTTTAAATATACACCATTCACCCAGCCTATTGTTGAGATGCGACCATGTGGGATCTGCTCAGATTTATGGGGCATCTTATAAATTAACTTGCTGTCTATCGTCAGATCTTTTCATACCACTCCACAATGTCTTATCTCATTTGTTTTCTGACAACGTCTTTACTTGATCCTCATTTTACTCCATTAAACTTAACATCTTATAGCTCTTCATCACTTATTATACTCCTACTCTCTGAAGGGTACGGTTGTGCACTAAATGCACAAAAAGGTATAAAATAAAAACAACTGGCATGAGGATAATTGTATTAAAACCAAAAGTGGATATCATGATAGTTTGTGATATATCTGTAGCATTATACATTGCAAATGAATGTTGTTACCCTAGGGTGTTTCCTTTATTAATGCATTTATTAATGATACTTGCACTTACCTATTTCATTACAATTTAATGATTCACCTCAGCACTTTAATTTTTCTAAAACAGATTCCAATCCCTTGTAAAAGGTGTACTTACCTCAATATTGGTTGGTTATCGTATGCCTACAACCACGGGATGAAAAAGGAACGAAGTCGATTTTCCCGCTCAACCTGGAGGACAACTGTACAATTCAATAACTATACGGCCTAATTCAGAAAATGAGTGTATTATATGTATCGAATATTTAACAGTTGAAATACGATTAACTTGTAGACAATCTACGATTTGATATTATATCATACTTGATCGTGCCTGTAAAAATGGCATGCATTTTCATGTAAATTTGTAAATTTATATGAAATACATTATTATTATTACCCCAAGATGTTTGAATTGATTGGGCTTGTCATTATTTCTTATTGCTGTACAAACCACCACAGTGGCTACACTGATCCTACGTCCTACAGCTCAAAACTCACAGATCCGGTTATCCAGTAGGGAAACGGACCAGTAATCAGGCTGCTCATTTCTAGGTACATTCATGCAGCCATCCCTTGTTCCTGTTTCGGAGAGAGTGCAAGATGTTTGATTCTTGACATGGCCAACTCATTATAAGAGGAAAGATTTGCCAGTTGGAATCTCCTTTCCTTGTCAGACCATAGTTTGATAGGCGATCTCATGACGATGTTCAAAATTCTAAAGTATGTCTCTGGACCTGATCACCAGGTGGTGATACCAAGGACAGCGTAGCAGGAGTAATTATATATTATATATTATATTACTGTGTAGTACTGGTCCTTCCACAGAGTCGTAAACTCCTGCAACCGACTCCCAGAACAAGCGGTGTCAGAGCCCTCAAATGACACATTCAGGAAGGACTTAGACAAGCACAAAACTCATTAGAAACAAATTTATAACGGCTTCACATTTTCTAGCCTCACTTAAAATATCCTAAATTTAAAAGAGGTCATTTGAACTAAAAGCGCATATAAGTACCAGCTGAGTGCGACTTCACAATGACGTCGGAACCGTCGGTCAATAATTTAGTGAAGCCACGTAAATGAAATCAAAATCATGAATAAGATATGTTCAATGAACCGTTTCGATGAAAGTTCCGCAAGGTGTGTGGGAGATTAAGTCAATGCTTGGGTGAAGAAAAGCTCTGGGTGAGGCCAATCTGATATAGAAGATATTATCGATGGTTTGAGGTATATCAAGATAGTTTCGTGTTAGGGTTAGGTCAAGGAAAGATTAAAGCTAAGGCTTGTTCAAGAAAATTAGACGAATACATATACAGAATATGGAATAGTTACTATATTGACACTCAAACATCAGAGAAGGGTATCCTGTGTAACACATACATGCTTTTTATTCATTATTCTCTTAAACGTAGATATTATGCGTGAAAATCGCCTTTATCTTGTGTTTGATGCGTTCAAGGTTGTTTGATGTTTAGCAAACCAATAGAAATCGAGCCAGCCAGAAACAACTGAAAGCTGACTGTAGTTATTTACTCACTGTTGTAAGTTTTGAAGATGGCCTTTCTTGTTTCAGATCTATATAGTTCACTCTTATGTCTAAAAAAACGTTTAAAAGTATGAACAAGACCATTATATCGTATATTTGATTCCAATGTATGCTTAAGTGCACTTAACTATTATGTACATGTGTGACAACACATTTGCATGTTAGTGGTTGCTGATAATTATTCCTAGCTGTTCTGATTGGTTGTTCACGTTCATTTTGATGATCGTTTGCTTCATCCACTATATATACTTTACTATGTAGATTTTTTGAATGGTGAGTTATTACTAAAATCATGGCGAAATTATATAAATCAAGCTAACAACAACTCTAAACTTATTTTAACCTATGCGTCGATAATGCCTTTTATGGTAAATGAAGATTTTATCTGCCCAATATGTTCTGAAATAACGCTGGTCGCGCTTAAAAAGAGAGCTAGGTGCTGAATTAAGTCTTTTCGTTCTGAAGTAACGCTAGTCCGCGCTTAATATGTCCTGTGAGGGCTGAAACAACGCTGATAAGCAAACCCAGTAGGTTCTGATCTACTTCTGAGAATGCCTAGAAAAAGAACACGGTGCTGAATTAGTGCCAGTCATGCTGAAAACCAGCACTGAGTTCTAGTCTGTGCCATTAAAGAATCCATTTCAGAACAGATTCAGAAGTTACTATAGAATGTGAGAATTGTTTCAGAATTAGTGAGATTTAATTTAGCATTATGGTAAGCTTGGGCGGTTATATCGTACATTTCCTATTTACATAAACGTCTCTTATTTGCAGTGTGCTGTTATGGAATTTGTAAGGGTCCGAAATAAACTACTTTGTAATTCTACGTTTGGTGGAATTAAGCGCACCTAAAGCAGTGTGTTCAAACACAGGGATATACACAAGGCAACATGGATTTCACCAGATGGACACACCAAAAACCAGATAGACTTCATTTCAATCTCAAGGAAGTGGAGACGGAGCCTACTGGACACAAGATCGAGGAGAGGAGCAGATGTCGGTTCAGACCACTATCTAGTACAAGGGACTTTCAAGGTGAAGCTGAAAGCCTCGAGGATACCTGGGGATAGGCCACAATGCAAGTTCAACACTCACAAACTGAAAGACACAACCACAAAGGACATTTTCACTGCAACTGTCAGAGCAAAGCAGGAAACACTACGTGGCACCACTGAGGAATCATCCGTGGAAGACCATTGGAACTCTCTGAAGGTAATTTTCAACGAAACGTGCTCAACGGTTTTAGGAAGAAAGAAGAAACAAGACAAGGAATGGCTCTCAACAGACACTTGGAAACTAATAGAGGAGAGGAGAAAGGTGAAAGAAAAAATGATTCAATGCAAAGATGGACAAGAGAAAGAGACGCTGAACTCAACTTACACAGCACTGGACAAAGAAGTGAAGAAGAGTGCCAGGAATGACAAAAGACAATTCTACGACAACCTGGCTACTGAAGCTGAGAAGGCAGCAGGCAAAAGGGACCTGAGGACACTATATCAGATAACCAAGTCTCTATCCGGGAAGAGATCAACACAAGTGAAACCTATAAAAGACAACCAAGGGAACCCAATTACCAAAGAAGAAAGACAGATTAAACAATGGGCGGACCACTTCAAAGGACTCTTGAACCGACCACCACCTACAACCCGTCCAGTAATACCAACAACAGCACGTACACAACTGCAAGTTGACACCAATCCTCCAACGAAAACTGAAGTCATGAATGCAATCAAGCTTCTGAAAGCTGGAAAAGCAGCTGGACCAGATGGAATACCCCCGGAAGCACTGAAAGCGGACCCAGAAACGACGGCAGATATGCTGACTCCATTATTGCAAAAGATCTGGAAAGAGGGAAAGGTGCCTACTGACTGGAGGAAAGGTTACCTGGTGAAACTACCAAAGAAGGGCGACCTGGGACTCTGCAAGAACTGGCGAGGAATCATGCTCCTGTCGACGCCAAGTAAAATCCTGAGTCGCATCATCCTGGAGAGAATCAAGGACGCGCTGGATACAGAACTCCGACCAGAACAAGCTGGATTCAGGAAAGGCAAATCATGTTATGACCAAATCGCAACTCTACGCATTATCATCGAACAAAGCATGGAATGGCAATCAAATCTCTACCTCAACTTCATAGACTTTGAGAAGGCCTTCGACAGCGTTGACCGCGAAGTAATTTGGAAACTACTCGAGTACTACGGCGTACCGCAAATATTCATCAACCTTATTCAACAACTGTACGACAACGGCACATGTCAAGTGATCCACAACGGAAAACTCAGCGAAGCGTTTGGAGTAAACACAGGAGTCAGACAAGGGTGCTTATTATCACCAATGATATTCCTAATTGTGGTGGACTGGATTATGCGTCAGACAGTAGTGGGAAACGAGAAGACAGGGATATCCTGGACCGACGTGAAGAACCTAGAAGACCTGGATTTCGCGTGTGGATGATTTATGTTTGATGTCACACAAGATCGAAGACTTACAAGCAAAAACCGAAAAACTGGTCGAAGAAGCAGCAAAGACAGGACTCCAGGTGAACATAGACAAGACGGAGGTTATGAAAATAACCAACCAACAACAGCAGCAACATCCAGTGCCAATCACCATCAACGGGAGGGATTTGAAAGAAGTTACTTCTTTCACTTATCTGGGGAGCATTGTCTCAACCACAGGAGGAACGGACGAGGATGTCAAATCGAGAATCGGGAAGGCGAGAAACACATTCATCAACCTGAAACCAGTCTGGAAATCTTCGTCACTCACCATCAACAACAAAATTCGGATTTTCAATACAAACGTCAAGTCAATTTTGCTTTACGGATCAGAAACTTGGCGGGTCACCAAGAATATTTTCAACAGGTTGCAGACCTTTATCAACAACTGTCTTCGCTCCATACTGAAGATTAGATGGCCAGAAAGAATCACAAACAAGAAGCTATGGGAACAAACGAAACAGGAACCAATCGCCTAACAAATATGCAGGAGGAAGTGGAGATGGATTGGACACTCGCTGAGGAGGCCGTTGAGTGACATCGCGCGTCAAGCCCTCGAGTGGAACCCGAAAGGGAAGCGGCGAGTGGGACGTCCAAGGGTGACATGGAGGAGATCGTGTGAGGAGGAGATGAAACAGTATGGAATAACATGGACGCAAGTGAAAAGAACAGTAGAAGACAGAAGCAAGTGGAGACGTGCAGTTGAAGCCCTATGTTCCACTAGGAACCCAAGGGAACAATAATAATAATAATAATAAAGCTAAATAAAACGGCAATCCTGGTACATGTACTTTAAGCACACCACACAGTCATGCTGTGTCACTTCCAATAGGTTTAATAGAGCTATTCACAGTCTCTAAGATAATCTTTTTTCGTTTACTCCGGAGATGGCGTAGACGTGATATCCGGCTGGCTATCGACCAAAGGGCGTGTTTGTGCCCTGTCTTCCTTTATGTCTGTGAGACATGGCCATAGAAAGTGGGAGATACGAAAAGGCTGGCTGGCTAGCTGTCTTTGATCATAGAAGCCTGCGTTCTATTTCCCGTGTTAAGTGGCATAATAAGGTGAGCAACCCAAGCTTAACATAATGCTAAATTAAATCTCACTAATTCTGAAATAATTCTCACGTTCTATAGTAACTTCTGAATCTGTTCTGAAATGGATTCTTTAATGGCATAGACTACAACTCAGTGCTGGTTTTCAGCATGACTGGCACTAATTCAGCACCGTGTTCTTTTTCTAGGCATTCTCAGAAGTAGATCAGAACCTACTGGGTTTGCTTATCAGCGTTGTTTCAGCCCTCACAGGACATATTAAGCGCGGACTAGCGTTACTTCAGAACGAAAAGACTTAATTCAGCACCTAGCTCTCTTTTTAAGCGCGACCAGCGTTATTTCAGAACATAGTGTGTAGATAAAATCTTCATTTACCATAAAAAGGCATTATCGAAGAATAGGTTAGAATAAGTTTAGAATTGTTGTAAGCTTGGGAATATTGAAGTTAGACGTCGAGTGTGTTGGGTAAGAAGGAGAAGTTAATCGACGAGGCTATAAATTTATAGCCATCTCAATCAGTGCAACTTAAGTTGCACTGATTGAGATGGTTAAGACATGTTACACATGACTAGCCATCCATCGCCTTACTTGACGACGGGCAATGTTAGCTGACACAGGATGGGTCAGATTGGGAGAGAGCCAGCGGTGATTAAACCAAAACATGACATAAGTTAGTGAAATTCACTACGGTTAGTTTAAGCTACGTCGGGAGGGGTAGACTTCCTGAGTTAAGTCTTCAGGATAGTAAAAACTAATGGACGCTGGAGACAATTGGTGATATGGCTGAAAATTGTTCGCAGTGGCGCAGATGCACTCTTTGGGATTTACAATATCTAATAAAACTCTGTTTGTTTTTCGTATTGCTATTCTTTTTGTCTCATATTTCCGTTTATTATCTCTATTGAATCTCTCTTTACTTTCTTCTCTTGCTTTTGTGCAACAAGGAGGGAATGTGGCAACTCGAACTGGTGCACATCTGTGCAAAGTTCTACGTTGAAGCCAGTCAGTCTTTCTTTGTTCCATCTGCTCGAAAGTGTTTAATATCTACACTTTTCCGTCTTTCCATTTAAGCCTTATTGGATTGCTAGGTTTTCGGAATTTTGTTTTGTCACTTAGAAGCGAATTTATTTTTTGTTTGCATACCTTTTTGCATTTTCTAGTAATATTTTCATCATTTCTTAGATTACAGGATTTTCATCGTGAGCTGACATCAGTTAGAGAACCATTGGAAAACCTGGTAGTACTGGATAGCTGTTTCGTCCTAGTTTGGGACTCCTCATCAGTACTCACCCACCGGGATTGTCTAACTGATGTCAGCTCGTGATGAAAATCCTGTAACCAATCAAATCCCTACAAACCAACTCTTGAATTTCTTAAATTATTTGAAGTTTCTCGGCTTTTGTTTTGTGAGTAATGCTGTTGGTAGAATACCTGTTGTTTGT